GAGTTTGGGGAGGATGAGGTTTGGGGAGGATGAGGAGAACAGACTGGGTTTTTTGAGAGGAAACGGTCGATTTTGCCCATAAAAATTGGAGAAGGTTGATTTTGCTTAATAATATCTCAAAAGAGTTGTTTTTAAAAATTTGCCCTACTTTAATTAATGTTAAGGATTCTTCTGTTTAATTTGCAAGAATAAATTTAAGAAATATTTAACCAGCAAGAGCGCACGCATGCTAATTAGTCGACTGACAATTATTAGTTGATATTATGACGGGTTCAAATATCAATCGTCCCTTCAAGTCCTTTGACAACTCGCACGTCAGACCTCTTAGCCTAGGGGTGAGCACGGTTCGGTTCAAACCGAAAAAACCGACCGAACCGACCCGAACCGACCCGAAAAAAGCGGTTTTATGAGTAAGGCGGTTCGGGTCGGGTTGACAATTTTTCAAACCGACCCGAACCGAACCAACCGAATATATTTGTGTCTTTGATTTGTGGGTTTATTGCTGTGTTCGATCACCATGAATAGCAGTTGCAGGGAATTGATTCATACATAACCAATGTTCTAATGAGTCAACTCCTTTTTTTGTCTCCACAAAGACCAAAGTCAAAGCTTGCTACACAAAGACAAAGCAAGTCCGTTACTAAAAAATTACAACGTCAGAGTCTAGTATTTAATCCAAAAGGACAAGTTACTTCACTTAAAAACAGTATACATACATGAGCAAGAATAATAAATTGAAGTGAAGTTAAAAAACAAATACATGCTGGCATAGGGTAATAATAATATATAAAAGATAAATTGAAGTGAAGTTATACTTGATAAAGTTAGAACCGAACAAACCGAACCGAACCGCACCGAACCGATTTGTAATGGTTCGGTTCGGTTTTGAATTGTAGATGGTTCGGTTCGGTTGTTCAAATTTTGGTAAAAACCGACCCGAACCGAACCGTGCTCACCCCTATCTTAGCCCAGGACTTGTCATAGAAAAATTAGGTTATACAAATAACATCAGAGTTTAATGTAAATAATATCAGGTATTATAATCAGCGTTGATCGTCTGGGGAAAAAATGATCATCATCTCAAGCTCTTTCATCCTAAAAATGAAATTATCCAAAATATGAGGGGAATAAAAAGAAATTACAAAACCGGAGCCAAAACCCTAATCCGCAGCGGCCATTGGTGGGACGTGAGGATGTGCTGGGTATTTAGGGGTTGTTTGGTTGTATGTTTTTACCATGTAAAAGGATGGAAAGTGTAAAAAAGTGGGTCCCAATGTCAGCTTCCATCACTTTAGATTGTTTGTTTAAATTCTTTTTTATTTGAAAAGCTTACAACTTTTGATGAGATGTCACCGAAAGCAAAATCATCAAAATTATGAGTGATTTTGTTGGAAAGCTGACACAATGTAATAAATGTGTCCAAAAAAATAATAAAAAAGCTAAAAACTTGTAGAAAGTGGTGAGGTGGATAACCACTTTCTATTTTGTGTCATAAATACTCTAGTTTACATTATACTTCCAAACAATGTAATACTATTATTTTAGGATTCACAAAGATTCCTAACCAAATAATGTAAACACCCGAATGAAAAATAATGAGGTAGATAACCACTTTCTATTTTTTGTCAAAATACTCTAGTTTCCTAAAATACTATTATTTTAGGGGCTGTTTGGTTGTTGTTGGTAAAGTTGTGTATTTATGACACAACTTGGAAAGTTGTTGTCCACCTCATTAATTTTAATTTTTTTTTGTTTGTTATTGATTCCATTGGAATCATAAATTGCTTGTTTGGTTTGTAAATGTAACTTTAATTGTTTGTTTGAAAAGCTAAATGTAACTTTAATTGTTTGTTTGAAAAGTGTAAAAAGTGGTCCCTACTCAAATGATCATATTGGTTAGAATTATTTTTTATTATTTTTTCCTGACTTCAATGTCAGCTTTCTCCTAAAATCATGTCTTTTTTTTTATGAAATCACTTTACAAGCCACATGAGCATATGAAATCACTTTACATTATTTTCACAACTACAAACAAACAATTAAAAGTGATAAAAGCTGACATTGGGACCCATTTTTTTACACTTTTCATCCTTTTACATGGTAAAAACATACAACCAAACAACCCCTTAAGGACCATGAAAATATCGTCCCCATTGAACTTGTGCCGCGTGGACGGTTAAGATCCTTTTGATGGACGAAAATGGAATGTTCTGGATCCAAAACCAATGTGGGAAGAACTTCGCAGGCTTTTTAACGAACGGACCCTGGGGCCGGCCCATGCTGATAAATCAACCGTTTCTTTCTATCGATCTACACCATTATTTATTTATTTTTTATTTTCCTTATTTTGGGTTCTGTCCTCACATAAGTCATTTTTCAGAAAAATTCCAGACATATCTTACACAAGATAATTT